AGAAGAAAGAAAGAATCTCTGAGCTGGAAGCTAGCACACATTTACCAAATTTGTTTAGTAGTGAGACTCTTTTAAAGTTGAGATACAATGTTTACTTGTTCCCATTTACTTTGATCTGACCATTTATATCTGTGTAGATGTATAACCACAGATGTCTAGTGATCAGTTCAAAGAAATCCATATGTATGTCACAATCTCCCTCACTGGTGATTTTAGCTTATTCAGTGGTCAGCTGAAGCATCCTACTATGCTATGGAACATTAGCAGCCATTTCTCTTGTTTATCTTATAGCTTAGTGGCAATCCCCAGTACATACACACACCCACATCCATACCCACACACCCACACACCCACACCCCCCACACACACATGGTGGGGAGGGTTGAAACAAACCTTCAGTATCAAAAACAGCATTTGGGCATAGTGGCTACTCAACATCTATTTGTTGAATAAATGAGTTCAAGAAAAGCAGGGTGTTCGATGCTTTCCTGAGGCTGTGCATATAATTTCCACCTCCTTCTCGCATCCTTACATCCTCCAGCCTTGAGTGCTCGGCACATCAAGCTGTGAGTGAAGTGCATTTCGATCAAGACTCTTGCTCTGACCTGCATCTTTGACAGAACGATGGCTCTGGTATTCAGCAGGAGAAGACTGTTTCTCAGGCCCTGTCACCCAAGGCAACATCACAGAGATACACCAAGTGCCAACTTCTGAAACTGCTGGGAGGTCTGGGAACATCAAGGTTTATCGATAGAAACATAAATGCTCAGAGTAATCGCAGGGGTCAGTTCTGGAAACAAAATAATGGTCATCGAGAGTGTGTTATGTAGTTTAAAGGCTCCTCATACTTTAGGGGTATTTGGTTAAGTTTTCTCTATTATAGATTAGTTTAAGGACTATTTTAAGATATGGCTCTTTGATATTCATCTATAGAGCATGTTTTGAAAGTTGTAAGCAGCAAATCAGAAATTTTAAACCTTTTAAAGACTCATGATACTTAGGTCTAATTACACTACACCACACCACCCCCAATAATTAAGAAACACAGAAGGCATGCTTTTTGACCAAGTGGTTATGTGTATTATAAAATTAAATACTTAGGTGGAGAATAATCTCAACTAGAGTGTGAAATCCTTTAGGGAGGATTGCATCCTGTTCTTTACAGACTGGGACATAATCAATGCCTAATAGTCAGCAGATAAATGGGAATGCACAGCTGAATTTTCACTAAGAAAAAGCTTTAGGAATCATTTTCTAAACAAGGCAGTTCAAATTTCTTTAGTTTCTCTTTTTGTTTGCTTGTTTGCTTGTTTTGATCGGATCGTCCTCTTCACAGCCAGTTCTTCAGAACAGACATCCTAGAATGACCTCTGAACTAATCCATCAAGAGCCTTGCTCTGTGTGAAGCATCACAAATTATAGATACTGTGAGTATAAGTTTTGTTGTGCTACTTAAAAGAAAATCTCCATGAAGTCCTATTTCCAGAGTTCACTCATTCAGAACTAAGTTCTGGAAGAAGTTAGAATTCTTGCACCAATTTTAATCAAAACTAATGCTACCATACAGTTTGACTATGAACACTTTGACTATACTGAATATTTCTTACCTAAATTCTTTTGTTTAGGTGATTTTAAAAAGTTTTCAATGATGCAAATAAAAGACAGCTTTCTGCATGGGGGTTAAGAGCCCACATTGCTCTTACAGAGGACCAGAGTTCAGTTCCCAGCACCCAGACTGGTCAACTCACAATGGTGTGACTCCAGCTCCAGGGGATGCAGCACACATAAACACACACACACACACACACACACACACACACACACACACACACACACGCATGCACACACACACATGAATGCATGTATACACAATAATAACAATGACTTAAAACAATAGGGAAGATCAAGGAGACTTTTTGAAAAACAACTTTCCATACAATTGAGGATGCAACATTTATTTTATGTATTATCTTTAATACTGTATATTGTCAACTGAACAATAGTTTGGTAACTTGGGCTTTTCCTTAGCTATGCTATAATGAAATTATCAGAAACTCCCAGGATGCTGGAAGGGTTCTCTAGCACTATGAGAAGACTTTCAGCTCTGATGACTCTGTTAGATTATGCAATGGAGTCAACATGTGTTTGGGTTAGAAATAATAAGAGTGTAGTAAAAGATTCTGCATCGACTAATGCCCGACTCAGGACATCAAATTTCAGGTTGGCATGAAAGAAAATTAGGAGCTGCCATCAAGAGAAGGAACAGTATTGTTTTAGCAACTTATTTGACTTCACCCTTGCCAAGGCAGGTGACATGTTCCCTCCATTAGTCAATGTGGACTCGCATTTGGATTTATGAACTTGAACCCAAATCCACTGACCCTGATAGTTATCTCAGATAGCTTTTCTTGGAGAAAGGGGAATTTTATGGATCAAAGCCTATGAAGTCATTTTACATTTTTTTTTACAAAATCTGTTACACATATTAAAGCTTCCTCAATATTTTTTCTAGTTTCATTGTGTTTCTAATTTTTAATATTAAACGATTTCCTTTGTCAATATTAAGATCTTGTGCAACACAGTTTTATCTGAGCTGTTGTTCCATGCCAGAAAGCACTGCTCTAGATACTGGGGACAGCCGTAGATGAGCTAGGGACCTCATGTGGCTTCCATCCTGCCACTCCCGCTCATTAGTCTAGAAGTTGCTTCCAAGTAGCAATCTCTGCTTCATGAACATCTCTTTAAAGTACACTACTCCTTATAAGTTCATTGTTTCCAAATCCAATACTTCTGTTTTTTAGTTAGGAAGTCTTGATTCTTCCATCATTTTTTGGTCTAAATTTTGCCATGTGTAATTTTAACTGTTGACAGTTTTATTTCATGTTGATTATTTCTACCAAGCCTAATGTTTTCCTGAGCCAATTCTTGCAGAATCCAATATGACCAGTGTGACATGACCCTCTATTTCATCTATAATAAGTTTTAGCGCTTGCATTGTCAGTTTTATTTTGTGTTGACTGTTTCTGCTCAGCCAAAACTTGCCCTGGCAACCTAGTGAAAGTGTCCTTAGGGTCAAACATCTAGGGTCACGACTTGAGAATATTATAAGAAAACAATCCTTGAAGGGAATAATGTGATAAAAACTTATGATTCAAGACTCCCTACTTTGAAAAATGGGCTTGTAAAAATATGGAGTCCCAGTGTTTTGGAGTCATGGTTTACATTTTTTATGAACACATGAATTACCCAGGATTTCTATAAATGTAGATTCTGATTCTGTGACTTCCAGCAGGACCTGTGACTAAATTGCTACTGTGTTCCATCGTGGTCCTGAACCTGCCCATCATCCAGCAATTGCTGTGTTTCAGTACTCGGCTCAAGTCCATTGCAGTCATCTAGTTTTGAGAGTATTATTTACCCCCAGTCTTGTTTTATTCCTTCATAAAAGAGAATGATGACATTGTTTACCTAAGAGCTTGTTGATAGGTGCAGTGCCTACCCAGCAAAAGGCCTGGTGCCTGACGAGGAGTAGATAGCAGCTCCTACTAACAAATGTTGCAAACACCCAGTAGGTCCAGGGAGAGGGTGGTGTGGCATGGAACTGACTATTCAGTGTAGTCATCTGGCCAGCAGCTTCTAGAAGCTTGTTCTAAACGTGGAGTTTTAGACCTTACTCTTTACAACTACATAAGGACTAACAAGTCCATGGGAATTCAGGTGCCCATGACAATGGGGACATGCTGGCACTGAGGGCCTGGAGAGGGTGCAGAAGGCAAGTCAGCAAAAGCATGGAAAACTAGGCCTTAGAGATCCCCACCTACCCAGATGATTTGGAGATGCCTGCAGAGAGATGAGAAGCAGGCAAAATTCATCCTTACTGCCCACCACCTCCCAGCCTTCCTTCCCACTCAGGCATTGTTACTAATCACAGATAGATGTCATTTCCAGCTGAGCCTTGCTTAATCCTCAGTATCTGCATCAACAAAAGCTCTAAGCAAAGCACTATGGCTGGATCCAAGCTGATGGGAAAGATAGATTGTCATTCTGTGAGAGGCTAAAGGGAACGGGCTACGGACTTAAATAGAAAGAACGCGAGACAAACAGTGAACAGAAAAAAGCTGGGTGCCAGTAAGTACTCTGTAAACAGTCATAATTATCTCTAGTAACCTGCACCATGTTTTCACCAGGCAATGAATAAATGAGAGCATTTACAATAATGAATTAACAAGTTAGTGGTTAAGTGCCCTTTAAGTGTGTGTGTGTGTGTGTGTGTGTGTGTGTGTGTGTGTGTGTGTGTGTAATAATTGATGAGGACAGTAAACAGAATTTTTAGAAATTTTATATGGCAAAGTGAAAGTGTTGTTAATTCCATGTCATCTCTCACTCTCCAAGGAGCGAGGGCACCATGAACTCCTGAGGATGAGTGTGGTGTGGATTGACTGCAGGCGGACCCTTGGGTGGCTTAGTGCCAGCTACAAACTCCTGAGCAGAGTGAATGAAGTCTCCTTCAGGCCTCCCTCTCCTGGCCTTCCAATGTCTTCTTGCAAATGAAGAGAATGAGAATATGTTTTTCTGAAGTGGTGTCCTGACATTCCACCTTGTCCACTACTGACCCTGATAAAGGGGTAGAGGGCTGAATGGGTCCCTCAAGCACAGACTGCTGTCAGTGAGGTCACCCACATCCCAGGGTTCAGAGCTGAGAAGGGCCACTTTGAACTGGATGGCCCAGGAGAGCTTTTCCAACGTGACCATTAGACTTTTGGGCACCAGTGGGCTGTTGGCACTGTTTCCTGGCCACTGTGCTGCACTAGGATACCCTGAGCTCCAAGGAGCTAGCACTGGCTTTGAAAGCATGTGCTCTGCTTCCAAAAGCTCAGCCCTCTGGGCCTCACTCAGTGATTCAGACCCGGCTGGTGCAGCAAGCCCAGGAAACAGGGTCTTAAGCTCCTTGTGATTAAGAATGAGCCGTAGTCATTGCTTTCTTGTTGTTTCAGGTCCAGTGCAGAATCTGTGCCCATCCTGTGGCTACCTGCTGCTTCTGGCCATACTCAAGGGTGCTAGGCAAGGAGTTCTCAGTCAGCCCCTACTAGAGAGCCAACCTGAAAATGGAACTGATGATAACGACGCATAGTAAGCCAGTGAGATGACTAAATGAGGAAAAGACTCGTAAGTTAGTTCCCCAAACACACCCACACACACCCACACACACCCACACACACACACACACACACACACACACACACACGCACACACACACACACACACACGCACGCATGCACGCACGCACAAATAAATAAAATATAATTTAAAATGACATATTATGAGCCTCAGTGTTATGAGTAATTCTCTGTTTCTTTTTGGCAGGACAGCCCAAGAGATGAAAGGGGAACTAGAGTTCAGAGCTGCAACATGTGGGATTGAGACAGGAATCCCATTTAACACCATTCTGCACACCATTCTCCAGTGAGGGGCTGTCCTTGACATCGCTTTGTTTGTCTGGCTTATGCAAGCCCATCATTAATTCACTTTCAAAGTGTGATATCAACAGTCTTGGCATAAAAAACATCTCTTAAATAATAAAGGCTTTGGTTCCACTGGGTTGCTTTGAAATGGCAGCTCTTTAAAACATGATTAAAAGTCTCCATTGGGTTTATTATTAATGAATAAGGTTTTGTACTTATGCATATGAGCCCTTCTCTAGACAAAGATTTTCAATTCTGTTCCAAGTGAGGCATGGGGCACACATATGAACTTACTCTATTAGGAGAGCCACAAACACACTAAGCCAGTCTATGTTGCCCATGACAGGCTACAACTTAAAATGCAAATAATTTTGATCTTTTATAAAAAGCTTTGGGAAAAAAAATCAAGAAAATGGTGCTACCTACTGCTCCTAACAGTCTTTGTTTTCTGTCTTCTGTGCTTTAATGTCAGGGCCTGCTGGGGCTGATTCTCCAAATTCTGAGACACACAAGCAGCTAGCTCATAGCATTGTTTTTCTTTCTTTTCTTTTTTTTTTCTTGGTAGTGTTTTATGTTTTCCCCCAACATAATATTTTTATTAAGCAATTGGGAGTTTCATGCAATGTGCCCAATCACACTTGCTTCCCATTCCTCCCAGGTCTATCTTCCATGCTTGCACCCTCTCCCTACCTCCCCCCCCCAAAGAAAACAAAACAAAAAATATGCCAAAAAAGTTGTGTCGCCCATGTAATCATTGGAGCATGGCCAAACTCCGGGAAAACTGAGTCCTCTCCCCATTCCCCCACCACCAGAAGACATCAACTGTGAGGAGTCACACTTCAGCATCTTTATCACAGTTCTGGCTGAACTATTTCTTTTAGAGGGATGTTGTCATGGAAGTCTTCATGTCTCTCATTCTCATTTGTGAGTCTGCAGCCATTGATACCACTGTGAAAAGGAACTTCCTTATCCATAGCAGCAAGCAACAACATGGATCGCGGATATCAACATGTTCTCCATCAGCAACAGGGACCATGGATGCCAACATGGCCTCCAGTGACAGCTAGGATCACAGAGGCCTCTCAGAGAGCCAGAAAAATGAATTCAGTTATCTTGTCGCTCAGAGTCAGGGTGATCGTGAGGTTAGGCAGAGCATTCAGGGACAGTACCTGTGCGAGCTCCAGGCCAGGCACAACCTCCCTGCTGGCTGCCCCACTGGCTCCCTAGGCAGGCCCGTTGTGCTTGCAGCTGAGGCCCTGACTCTCCTCTCCACTGGCAGGGCAAGCTGTGTCAGCAGCGGTGGCAGTGGCGGCAGCAGCAGCAGCTAGGTGCCATGGACTGGGCCTGCTGGTTAAGTGACAACCTGGCCTAGCAGGGGCCACTAGGCTTTGTGGGCATGGTGGTGTCCCGAATTTCCTGGCAGCGCAAGGGACCTGTCCTCTTCAACAACAACATGCTGTGGCAAACCTATTGCCACCTCTGCATCTTTAGCTCTCTCCACAGAGTGCTGCTCCCTTCAGCATCTTGTTTTCCAGTTCCATGAAACCACTTTTAAAATTCATCTACCCATAAGACCTGCCTTTTTTTTTTCAGTTGTTCCTCCCCTTGAAGCCTCCTTTGGTCTCTCAGGTGCCATTTCTGCCATCTTCAGCGTTTGTTTTTCAAAATGAAAAGTAACCCCTCATGGCCCACACCCAACTGTCTTTGTATTGGATTGTCACCCTAATGATGCTTCCTACCTACCCGTCCTGCACACTCAGGACTGAGGGTCACATGCCAGAAAACTAGGGACAATTCCGGTGCCCCTGAACCTCCTGAGGTTGGTCAATTCTAAACCTGTGGACTCATCTGTTGGTCTCCATGGAAACACCACAATGCAGGTTGTCCTGGTTAGTTTTTATGTTCATTTGGCATGACCTAGAGTCACCTGGGAGGAGGGAACCTCACTTAAAGTATTTCTTTGCTCAGATCAGTCTGTGGCCATGTGAAGAAAATATCACCTTGCTTGATGATTGATGCTAGAAGGCTCAGCCCAGGGGCCACTATCCCTAGGTGGGGGTGGGGTGTAGTACTAGACCATGTAGGCGAGCTAGCTGAGCCAGTAAGCAATTAAGCAGCCTTCATCCATGGTTTTTCCTTGACTTCCTGCCCTGACGACTGTGATCTGGAAGTATAAACCAAATAAGCACTTTCCTCCCCAGGTTGCTTTTCATCACAATATTTTATCATAGCAACAGAAAGCAGACTAAAGCGTAGGTTCTTCCCATGGTAATCTGTTCCTGCAGTGCCAGACTGACGTGACAATTCCCACTCTGTCCCTGTGGCATGGCACATCCTCTTGTCTCAAGATCTGTCTTCTCAATTGCAATTCTCTCCTTAACAAGTTCACATGTTCTTAGAACACATGTCATACTATTTTGAAATGTGCCCTGGTCCTAGACACCTTGACAGCAGGTGAGAGCAGTTCATCTGCAGTTGGTTCATCCTGGTTATTCCAGGAGCTCCCCTTATCCTGTTTCTACACAGCCTTTACTGAGGCTCCAAGTGTGACCTGCTCTCCATTGGGACAGTTTGTCTCAGACGTGCTAAGGCCACTAACAATATTCTGACATCTGGCAGTTCTGACATTTGACATATCCCTGGGACCTCTGGCCTACAGGTTGAGAACCAACTTCTGAGGTTTCTTATGACTGTTTCTGCTTCTTCGAAAGATTTAGAGTTTGCTTCATTTCATCCCTGGGGAGGAATGCAAAGATGTTATTCCTCCCTCTCTAGACATTCCTCAGCAACTGCTGAAAATAGTTGGCAAAGAAAATATTTCCCTTCCTTCTTCCGTAAACAATTAATTTGGCTGGGGTTTTATTTCCTTCTTGCCACTGTGAGAGGATAAAGGAATCCATTTCCATGGTGGTCTCTCCACCTCCCTTTCTCCTTTGGGCCGATTTGGTCACCATTGTTGACACAAAGCAGGCTCAGCGTGGTGTGTAGTTTTGCAAGGGCCATGGTGGCTGCTTCCATGGGCTCGTCCCGATAGGTGAGATGTTCTGGAAGATGTTTGACCTTGCCATCCTGTAAGCTTCACCTTCCCAAAAGAAAGATTTGGCACACTTTCTCCAATGCCTAATCCGTACCACAGAATTTGTGATGACTTCCACATGAAGGACCTTTCTCCTTATCTAGATGTTTCTGTCTGGTCCACTCACCCTCACCCTCATCGTTGCTCATTTGCCTTGTATCCTCTCAACTGAAACAGAGGCAGGTTCAAGTCATAATCAGCTCAGTTGCCTAGTGTAGAAGAGAAGGAGGGAGCAGTGCAGGGCAATTCAGTCAGTTGCTGATGCACAGCTTGAGGACGAATCTTGATTTGAGTAGAGAGTTTCAGTCGTTCCGGATGACAATATGTCCAGATTTGAAGTGCGAGATTTCCAGGAAAATTTCCAAGCCTCTTTCTCCTTATGCTGCTACAGAACCAGGAACCTGGAAGATAGACCCTCCTAAATCACCTGTAAAAATGTCTCTTACCCATTCTAACCAAATTCTGTAGCCAAACTACACACTCTTGAGGAAATGTGCCCACATATCTCTGTCAGAGGCCTTGACCATGACTGTGCAGGTCAAAGCGTGGGAGAGTTGTGATCACCAGGATCATCACTCAACACAAAGCTCCCAGGCATTGATGTGGGAACGTCCCCACAAGGTTGAACACACTCCCCTCCGGGTTGAGCCCTACACTAGTTTTTACAGTGGCTCTGTAGGACTAGCTTTCAGGTACCACACCGGTAGATTTCTTGACTCTGAACCCTTCACCTGGATGGTCACTTCCATGTGTCACTTTTCTACCGGTGTTTCCTAGCATACTTGTCTCAGTGTCAACCTTGTAAAAAAATCCCAGATGAAGACTTGGTTTATAAAAAAGTTCTTTGGTTATGAACTGTCCTTTTAAAAAATGAAAGGAGCAAATTGGGGAGGGACCACTAACACTAAAGATCTTTTGAAAAACTATATAGAAACCTACCACTGTAGAAATATCCTAAAATATATACATATATAAAGCAATTTAAGTGGGGAGACAACACCCTGACTAGACAATGTATGCCTCCCAGCAAAACCTCCAGTGCTAAGAATGGGGTATGTCTTGCTGAGTGATTGGCAAATTACCCCCAAATATCACAGGCTATTGGCAAGGTTATTTGTTGTTCTCCACAGCTGACGGAAAGGTACTAGAGCTAAAGGCAACACTTACTTTGGTCATCAAATATGGAGAAGTCAAGCTGGTATGCAACGAGAAGCTTCCCTCCTCCCGGCTAGAGTTCAAGGTGCTAGAAGTTACTGTGCTGCTGGATGAGAAAGGTAATCATCAATGTCACATAGCCACAAACACTGTGACCTACAACAGTGGCTTGCCTGAGAGATATACCGGTGCAATAGTGACATAAGTGTTATGGGAGCAGTCAAGCACTTTTTGATTGAATTTAAGACCTACTCTATAAGATGGAACCACACGCTACATTGCTAAATTGGTAAGAACCCAAGGCTAAATAGGTCATGGGCCTTGAGAAAAATCTACTAATATTATTTTGCTAAAAACATAGCAACAAAATAACTCCTAATAACATATTGCTATACCCATATACCAGTGCCTCACTGAACTTTCATCAGAAAGGCTTCTTCTTGCAGTAAATGGGTGTTGGGCCTAAGAAAGGCTTGGATGCAAGGCCCAGTGTAAGCTCCTGAGCCTGACTTGAGTTTTGGGCTTGGATGTGAGGCCCAGTGTAACCTCTTGAGCCTGACTAGAGTTTGGTGACCTGTCTCTAACCTGTAACCTCCACGTGGGGGTGACTCAGCCAGATCTGATGCAAGATTGCCCCCTGCCTAGCTACCTGCCTGCTTGGTGGAATACTATTGGCCCTTAACTCCTCACATCACCTTACCCTATCCCAAGTTTCCCATCCCCTACCTCAGTCCTATATAAGTTCCTGTGTGTTGGAATAAATCGAGATCCTGCTTCGACAGACTCCCGACTCAGTGTGGTTTTTTTCTCCCTGGTAACTAATGTGGGGAGGGTCTGAGTTGTCCACACCCACCATCCCGCTCAGCCCCCCGGAAGAGGCTGGCTGGACCGGCTCCCCCCGCGCTACCTGCAGGAAGGACCCTGCAAATGGGAATTAA